CTCTGGGCTCAAGGAGACGCGATTGCTCTCCCGTTTCCAAGATTAGGCCAAGTGCCCTTCCCCAGGACATCACTCATGCTCCCCGCCCCACGCACTCAACCCACTCTTGTTTTTATGGCAAATTAAGATGTCAAAATAAGCATGAGAATTTTTAATCAATGAAAGGGGTGCTTGCAGTTGAAATTATCAGTGAAACTTGTCCTTATAAAGGGTGCTATTCAAGGCCCTCCCTGGTAGTACAAAAGGTTAAGTCTCAGTATTATGAAGCTGTCCGCAGCCACTGCAGCATAAATTCAATCCCCTGCCAAGGAGCTGACCCACATGGCGCAGCAGACCTCTCCTGTCTCCCTGCTGCTCCCCTCAGTGGTGGATTTCAGTGGATCTGCCTGTTTGCTCCCCACTCTGTCTCTGGTGAATCCTCTCACCCCCCCATACCTTTGGCCTGTACCCCAGTTTGTGTCTGCATAAATAAATAAATCCTTTTTTAGAAAAGGTACTATTAAGTAGGTTTTTTTTTAGAGGGGTGGTCTTGTAATGTCCTGTTCATGCAGACCCAACTACTGGGCTCTGCAAAGTCCCTTTCTGAATGAGGGCAGACACAACATCTTGAGAATGGAACCATAAGAAATCACCCCTGAGATTTCTCCCCATGTCATCTGTCATCGATAATGCAAATATGTTTCATAGCTACTACAAAACAAAGTTTAGAAATGCCAGGGTCATAAAGTGATTTAAAACCGATAGAACATATCTTGGGGTAGATTTTATTAGGATGTGGAATACTTAGCTATAGGCTTAGCCATTCAAATGAAGATCCATTCCGCTGCAAGTTAGAGAATACCTGGTTAACAGCCAGTCAGCCATAAAGATGCTGATTAACAGTGAGTTTGGGGCTGGTGGTCACTGATTAACACTGAGTTTGGGGCTCAACAAGGTCACTGGGGGCCCAGGCCCTTTCTGCCACCCTTAGCTTATTAACTTTCTTCTTCAAGTTTGTGGCCATGTAGTGCTAAAGTGGCTGCTGCAGCTCCAAGCATCACATCCTAACATACAATCTTCTAAACCAGAAAAGGAGAGGATAGTTCTTCACATGCCTACCTATTTCAATATGGAGGACACTTTCCCAGAGCCCCAGCAGACTTCTGACTTATTGTTGGCTAGAATTGGATCATGTGTCTGTCCTGAGACCAGTCATGTAAAGGGAAACATGATTAGTGCCAACGGCAACTTGCCCACAGAGGCTGGGGAACCTGCAACGGGATGGCTGATTTGGTTGACTCAGTTTACGCTTCTCGTCTGAGTCCAGCAGAATCTCCCCTCTTCCGATACGTACTGGAGAAAAAAGGAGCCCTCGAATGCTCTTGGTGGGATGTAGACGGGGGCAGCCTTTATGGAAAACATGCAGCATCTTCTCAAAAGACTAAAAATGACTGTGCCCTATGAACCAGCAATTCCACTCCTAGGAATCTGCCCAAAGAACACAAAAACACTACTTTGACAGGCAACCTGCATCCTTCTGTTTACGGCCCCACTATTTACAATAGCCAAACTATGGAGCCAAGCTAAATGCCCCCAAACAGATGAACGGATCAAGAAGATGGGGTCTAAACACACACAGTGGGCGACCCACAAAGATCAACTCGTGCTACTCACAGTGATGGGTGCTTCAGTGGAGGGACAACTGAGATGGCTGCAGCTGGTGGCGGAATCTTGCTGCGTCAAACACTAGCAAGGGTGCAGAACGGTGATGCTTCAACTTAAAAAGTCAACACATTAAAAAGCAAAAATATCCTGTGCCCCTGGCCTCTTCTGCAGCTTTTGCTCTGCCCTGACAGCAGCCCTCTTACAGGGCACCGGCGGCCCCGTGCACAGCCCATTCCCACCGCTGCCCATCAGCTTTTCATTCCTGCTATTCCAGTCTGTTTCTGGAAAGTGATCCCAGCCTCCTCTCCCCAGAACACGGGCCACCACCTCGGTGCCTCGGTCACAGCAGTGGCTCTTCAGAACTGGCCTTAAGAGGAAGCCAGCGAGCTTCTCGTGGCCTGTGCATTTCTGGAGTCACAGCTACCTGCATTGCTTGGCGCTTTTGTTGTGTTGTGTTGTGTTGTGTTTGTTTGACCAGAGGTCACATCAGAGAGGAAGGCGAGGAAGCCTTTTTCATACTCTTGCTCTGTTTGTTCCTCTATCCAAACCTTCCTGCCCCTGATTCTCTCCCAGAATCTACTGCCAGGTGTTGATTTCGCTGCTCTGCCTCCTCCTTCTGGATCATTCTCTGCGATGACTTTTGCGGAGTCCTCAGCCTCTTGCGCACACCACCTGCTCCTCACTCCACTTCCCCTTCCCAACCCTCCCCTCCTGTAACACTTGAAGCACAGCGACCTCTCCTGCTTAGTCTCACGGCTTCCCCGCCCACCAGAGGCTCAGCCCTGCACCAGCTCCTGGTCCCAGGTCATGTAGCAACTTGGGAGAAGCATCCAGCCAGCCTGCCTCTCTGGCCCTTGCTCCTGTCTCCTTCCGGCCTCACCCTCTGCCTGCCTCTGACTCACGGGGCTCATTGAAGGGCGGTCAGCTGAGGGGGGGCAGCCTACAGTGGCCCCATCTCACTGCCCCCAGCCAGGCTGACCGGCGCCATCTTGGCCACTACCTTGATGACTTCTTGGAGGGCTTCCAGAGGCTGCTGGCCTCAGCGCTTCTGAATTTCTTCCCCACTCCCTTATGGGCTGAGTCTTGTCCTGGGGGCCAGGGCACCTTCGGCAGGCCCCTGGGCCTGGTCTCATGGGTGCACTGCCCTAGGTTTTGTTGAAGGAGGGGCCCCCCCACTGATCACCCCAGATCTGGAAGACTTCTCATCCTGATCTTTAGCTCTACAGACTGAGGGGCATGCAGGCTGCTGGCTGAGGGTTAAGCTGCCTCACACTGCCTGTCGGAAAGCCCGAGGCAGAGTTTTTCTTGGCTCTCTTGGAGTGCAGCCTTTCCCATTACCCTGTTCCCTCCGACGTGGGCCCTCACTAGCTTGTCTGCCAGCCCCCGAGTCCATGTGTGTCTTGGGACAGACAGATGAGCTGTGGGACAGAGGCAGGGCAGGCCTTCATCTGTGCACGGTCTCTTTGCACCTGGACCCAAACCCCACCCGCAGTCCGTCCCAGTCCTGCCAGTCACCTGAACCCCAGGAGAAAGCTGGGGCTAACGGCGGCATGTTGAACTCCCCAGCATTCTGAGCCTAGCATCTGCTCCCACACTCAGCATCTCTGTACCCCGGGGCTGATTTCACGCAGCTGCCAGCATTTCTCTGATTCTCAGCGGAGAGAAGAGCCCAGCCTGGTGCTCACTTATGAGCCCCTGGGAGAGGAAAACTGAATTGACTAACTGATAGCATTTTGGTAAAAAGAGCTCTTGGGAGCATACATTTACCTCTGCAGTCACCTGAAGTCACAGTGCTGATTCATTTGCTTGCTAAATTGTCTACAAGGGGGGTTCTGTTCAGAGAGGAGGGTGTGGCCCCAGACAGTGGGTCTGCTTTGCATGCCCTGCTCTTTCTCCTGTCTCGAGTTTACATTCGGGCTGCTCAGCTGACCCTGGCAGTTCATGGACCCGCCAGCTGGATGGGACCCAGCTCAGAGCAGAGCAAGACAGGATTTGGAGCCAAGTCATTCCAGCTTCTAGTTCTGCTCCAGTGAGGTTTCCCTCGTCTATACCAGGGAATAATAAGAGAAGTTAATGAGCCCCCCTTAAGCTAGAGAGGCTGCTCTTCGTGTTCCCCAGCCCAGCCACGCCCCCAGCCTGTTCAACCTGCTCCCTTCAGAGTCCAGGTGTCCCCACCTCTCACCCACCATTGCCCCTGACCGCATACACCACAAGGAAAAACACAGACCGAGGAGAGACCTTTATTTTACTTGCTACCAAATGTATTTAATTTAAAAAAAAATGATCTTGATAATTTTTAAATAATTTCTCTCCTGACATTCTCAAAAACCTCCCTAGAAATCAGAGTTTGTTGGACTAGGGGAATGTTCTGGAAAAGCCCATGGGAGAGTGGGATGTTCCAGGGTCTCTTCCACTCATCCTTCCAATTGCCTGATCTGGACCAGGCCTGGCAGGGTTTGGAGTCTTTTCTTCTGTGCCAAGATACCAGGCTGTCCTCTCTGGCTCTGCACAGGGTTTTCCATTCCTCCTTTACCCTCAGAAAACCACAGGCTGCCCACGGATAAGTGATTGGTGTGTGGATGGTGAGGGAGTGCAGGTCCCCCAGACAGCAGCCATTTACAGCAGAAGGGGAAGCCAGAGGGAACTGTGGGCGGGCCGTGAGGTCAGCCAGAACCACACACGCAGCTCTTGCCCCAAAATCAGCGCCCATGCAGGCGTCAACCTGTCTCTTTTCCTCTAGTGAACTCGCCATGTGCGTGGGGGCGGGAGGGGGTGAGGGGAAGAATGACAAAGACCAATACTGGACATGTCCATAACTTACATAGCGGAAAACTGGACCAAGGAAAATACTAGCAGACGTGGACAAATGAAGTCAGAGCTCTGAGGGGAAGGAGGAGGAGGAGGGAGAACTAGACGAGAGATACAGGGGATGGTGGCAGGGAAAACAAGTAAAAAAATTAAAAGTGCAGGGCGGTGTCCCCAAGCCAGAGCAGGCATAAAACCCCAAGCGGAGGCACATGGAAGATGAACAGCGGGTCTGCGAGGAAAACTGTGGGATATACAGAGCCCCAAAATAGCACAGACCTAGGTCCCGGGCTACAACTCAGACCAAGAGAGAAAAGGGAGGGCAGGGTGCTGGCCGGTTTTCCGGAGAGTCCGTTTTCCTCCAGAGTCCCTGCGGCCTGGACAAGTGCCCGGGGCACCCGATGGCAGGAAGGACTGTGTGGGGGTGTAGCAGGAGCCGGGCTTTCGAAAGTCGGGGTGCCTGCTGGGCCTGGGTGACCTCAGCCCCCGCCTGCCGCCCTGAGGTCCGGCCAGCCTCGAGCTGGGCCCCCGCTGTTACGCCCCGCACTGCCCTAGGGGACGTTGCTCTCCAGGCTGGACACCTGCTTCTGCCCCTCTCCCTCCGCCTTCTCCGGCTTCACTGTGCTCTTCCGTCTCCCCGGGCCGCAGCCCCCCACCAGCCTCCCCAGCAGCCGGCGAAAGTCGGTTTGGAACCCAGAAGACGAGAAGTAGTAGACCAGAGGGTCGACACAGGAGTTCAGGGAGCTGAGGAGCAGCACATAACTCCTCCACGGTGGGCTTCTGCCCTGCACGTAACCCACCACCTGCGACACGTTTAAGGGCCCGAAGCAGACGAGGAAGTTGAGCAGCGTGGCCGCCACCAGCCCCACCACCCTCTTGCTCCGGTGCCGGCTGGCGCCCTGCCTGAGAATGTACACCACGAGGCTGTAGCAGCAGATGGTGATGAGCAGGGGGACCCCAAAAAGGACCACAGCCATCTCCAGCCGGACAGGCAGGAGAAGAGCCAGCTGCTCCGGCTGGAAGTCCTGGTAGCAGGTCATATTGCCACTCTGGCTTTGGGAGTTTTTCCCCGAGTACTCGGTGATGTAGACGATGCTGCAGTGGGCGCCGGCCAGCAGCCAGCAGGCCGCGCTGACCACGCAGGCCTGAGCGGGCCTGGGCCGGGTCTTGTACCATAGCGGGTAGGCCACGCTCAGGAAGCGCTCCACGCTCACGGCAGCCAGGAACAGGGAAGTGAGATAGGTGGTGGTGAAGAATAGGAAGCTGGACAAGGGACAGAAGATGAAGGGCAGCGGCCACAGCATGCTGTTGGCCGCCTCCACGATGCGGAAGGGCAGGAAGAGCAGCAGGATCAGGTCCGAGACGGTCAGGTTGAGCAGGAGAACATCCACAGCCACCGGGCGGCGCTGCAGCTTGCCCACGAACACCAGCAGGGACAGCAGGTTGAGGGGCAGCCCCACCAGGAAGATGAACAGGTACACGGAGAAGTTGAGCCAGTGACAGCCAGAGCAGCTTCTGTCCACGTCGGTGTCCATGGCGACGGCGCTGGGGGGAGAGATGCAGTCAGGTGGGGTCTCCAGCCCCAGCCCCGCCGCTGTCAACAGGAAACATGGCCGCACCGCCAGCCACCGCTCACCCCCTCAACCTGCCCCAGCTCTCCCCAGGAAAGCAGGCGCCCCAGGGGCGCTCCACACCGCCCTGCTCACCTGCGCAGTGGAGCCCAGCCACTCAGCACCTGCAGCTCCCCAAGCCTGTGGGTGGCTGCTTATCTCACAGAATTGATAAAGGCCTGGCAGAGCCCATGACATCACTCATTCTTCAACAACAGCACAAAAGAAGTCTTCAGCTCCATGAGGGCCAGCCAGTATGCAAAAGGAGCAGGAAATTTCCCCAGGGCGGGCCTCGTTCCTCAGGCAACCTCCAGCAAGGCCCCAACCTGGCTGGCCTGGCCTTGTCTCCCGGCTCTGTCACTTACTAACCAGGTGATTTGGAGCAAGTGACTCAAACTCCCTGTACCTCTGTTTTCTCTCACAACAGCCATATCGAACACCCGTCACAGGCTTATGGTGTGGGTAAGAGCCACATGTCGAGGCTTCAGTGAGCTTGGCACTGCCCTGGGGGCCCTTAACATGCCAGCCGCTATGGATCCCGCCACTGGTGAGGGCAGGGCTCTGGGAGACGGGACAGTGATAGCAGCTACTTTAGAGTGGACACAAGACCCTTAGCAAACGCTGCACTTCTCCCAGGCTCCGTCAGGCCTTGAAAGCCTGTGTCCTTGGGCCTCTCCGTGGGGAAGTGACAGCCCCGGGGATGCAGTCTGGTTAAGTTTTGCCTCCAGGGCTCAAACCCACGTGTTGTCCACTTCTGGGATTATTTATTGACCCAGATATTTGCGGAGCACAATGAAGCAGCAGCTTCTATCCCCTGGAATGGCTGTGGGCAAAGCCATCCATCACCAGAGCTCGGGAGAAGGGGAGCAACAGGAAGCCTCATGCACTGCAGACGCTTTGGGAAGCGGTTTGGCAGTTTCTTAAAAGGCCAACACGGGGCCTCCCCGGTGGCCCAGGGGTGAAGTCCCAGCGCTATCACCGTGGAGGTCTGAGTTCGATCCCCGGCCAGGGAGCTGGCCCACATGGCGCAGCAGACCTGTCTGGCCACTGCTCCCCTTAGTGTATTTCAGTCGATCCACCTGTTCTGCTCCCCACTCTGTCTCTGGTGAGTCCTCTCCCCGCCCCACCATAGCTGGCCTGTCTTCCTGTCTTCTTGCATAAATAAATCTTTTTTAAACATTCAACATAAATTTACTATGAGAGCCAGCCCACAATAGGTATCCGCTTAAGAGAACCGAAAGCATGTTCACACAAAGGCAGCTCGTAAGTGGTCACCGTGACCGCAAGAGTCCACAGGCCGGCGGCCGGCCGAGAGCGAGTGGACGGGCCTGGGCACAGTGTGACGTGGGTGGGCCTCCGAAACCTTATGCCAGCTCAAGGAAGCCAGTCCTAAAAAGATCATGCATGAGTGTTTCTTTGATACAAAAGGTCCAGAAGAGGCAGATTTATAGAGACAGAAACAGACTACTGATTGCCCGGGAGAGGGCACCGAATCGGGGTTGGGCAGTGAGAGTGAAGCGCTCTGGGCAACGTGCAGAGGGAGCTGCCTGCCCCAGAACGCACTAAAATACATTGAGTTGTATACTGAAAATGGGTGAATTTTATGAAATGCACATCTTATGTGCAATAAGGTATCAAGTCCAGCAGTGAAAAAAATAAAGTCTTTGCTGTCAGGCTGCTTATATTTGGGGGACTGGTGAGAAGGGGGCTGAGCAGTGGGGCACAAGACAGACATCCCTGGCACAAACAGAGGGGTGCGCACTGGGAGAAATGCTGTGGGCAGAGGGAACGGCAGGACTCAGGTTTGACCTAACGGGGGCCCTGGTAGATCTGGGGTGCAGAGGATGCTGGGGGTGCACTGTGCAGGCCCCACAGGCCTTGGGGAGGAACTAAGTCTCTGAAGTGGGGAGGTACAGGTCACCTGGGCAGCAGGAGAGAGGAGGGCTGGTGTGGTGGGCGGCGCCCTGGGCCTCCTGGACTGGAGACTGGGCTTTCAGCAACAGAAGAGCAAATAACCCCATTAATATGGCATGAGCAGACAGTTCTCTAAAGATGATCTCTAGAAAGCCAAAAGGTACGTGCAAAGAAATGGTCGCCAACACTCCTGATAAGGGAGATGAAGAGGCCCTCCCTGGTGGTGCAGCGGGTTAAAGCGCAGCACTGCAAGCTGGTCGCAGCCGCTTCAATGTGAATTCGATCCCCAGCCCCGGAGGTGACCCACATGACGCGGCAGACCTCTACTGACCCGCCCGCTGCTCCCCTCAGCAGTGTACTTCCTTGATCTGCCTGTTCTGCTCCCCACTCTGCCTCTGGTGAATCCTCTCATCGCCCCTACAACTGTGCCCCAGTTCTGTATGCAGAAATAAAATCTTAAAAATAGAGACTGATGAAGAGTAAAGTTACAAGGAGACACCATCTCACCCACGTAGGAAGGGCACCCCTCAGTAGTGCTGGAGACAATGGGAAGAAAAAGGAATCCTGTTGAGAATGTGAACTGGTGAAGCCATTATGCAAAGCACTTTGCATTTGCCATTAAAAAAAAAGGAAATACTGCACAACTGGGCCATCCCATTTGGGCAGATATCTGTAGAATATGAAGCTGTGAACAAAAACCCCATATATTTGACTATATTTACAGCAGCATTATTTATAACAGGTGCAACATGGAAGCAGCTTAAATCTTCAAACCAATAAATGGATCAAAAAGACGTGTTCCCTACACACCATGGAATATTACGCAGCCCCAAAAAAGGTGAAAGGAAGCTACTTGCAAGAAAATGAAGGGAATTCGAGAAAATTATGTGCAGCAAAACAGATCAGAATGATAAAGGCAAGTACTAGGTATTCCCATAACAGACAATTCGACAACACAAAACACTTTCAAAAACTACTCAACACCCACAACCAACCAGAAGGCTCTGGGGGGAGGGGTGGGCAGGGAAGGGAGGAGGAGACCCAAGTGATGGTGGGAGAAAAATTTAAAAATTAAGTTTGGATAATTAGAAAAAAAAATTAAACAGTAAGAGAACATTGTCTCTGCATGGCTATAACGAGTGCTCACTCATCCACGAGCAAATATTTATTGAAACCCTACTATGCACGAGGCTCTGTTGCAGATGCTGGAAACGTATCAGCAAAGCAAACAAAATTCCTTGCCCTAGTTGGCGCTGGAGCATGAGAGAGGAGATCAAGTCAAATTGTGCATGAGGGGCATGGCAGGACCCTTCTGTGCCTCTTTATTTATTTCTATATTTTTAAAGATTATTTATTTATGCATGCAGAACTGGGGTACAGGCCAGAGATGCAGGGGCAGTGAGAGGGTTCACCAGAGACAGAGTGGGGAGCAGAACAGGCAGACTGACGACGTACACTGCTGAGGGGAGCAGCGGGCGGTCAGGAGAGGTCTGCCGGGCCACGTGGGTCGCCTCCGGGGCCGGGGATCGAACTCGTACTAAGCGGCTCCAGCCAGCTTGCAGTGCTGTGCTCTAACCCATTGTGCCACCAGGGAGGGCCCGTGCCCCCTTATTAAAGGGACTTGGTGCCTCCTCCTGTAAACCCCAGGGAGCAGATGACCACTCTGAGCTCTTCTAGGCCATTCTCCTCCACTCTTGCAACTTCAGGCCACCACCATCCACCTTCCCCAAAAAGAACTCTGAGAACAGGTGTTACCTGCTCCCCCCAAATTTCCAAATGTCTCCCCAGCGCTGGGTCCCCCTTGAAGAATTACAGCCCACGGCTGCTCCTCCCTCGCCGTAGGGCACTGTGTTTCAGGGACCCCTCCAAAGGAAGATGGTAAGAACCTAGTGATGGTAATAACCTGGTCCCTCCAGAACCAGGGCCAAGTCAGGCAGCACCTTCGTGCGAGTTCAGAAAAGCACAGCCCGCCCTCGAGCACGGCTTGAGGAGCTGAGAGTGGAGCATGTCTTTGTGCAAACTAGAAGAGCGTGTTCTTGGCCTTGCACTGAAGAGCCTGTGAAGAGCTAGCCGGGGCGCACGGCTGAGCCAGCTGGGCACAGGCTAGAGCACCATCAGGGCTGGCGCCCTCTGCGGGCCCCTTGCGCAGTGCACAAGCCACCCGAGAGTCCGGCCGCCACAGGGCTGAGTCGAGGAGCGTGTGAGAGGGCACGAGACACTGCAGCGCTTGGCAGGATGGCCGTCACCTCGTCGAGATCCTCTGTGTTGGTGGCTGTTTGGGGCGTTGCCGGGATTTCCTCGCCCGCTGGGGCATCTTTGCCCGCCCACGTCCTGTTCGCATTCTCGTGGCGCCCCCAAGCGGCAGCACGGTGTCCTTACCCTGCCTCGCTCCAGGTCAGTCGTTAATGATGCCCTTGCGCGGGATGTGCTTCAGGGTAGCGTTTTCCAGGGGGGACCCCCACATCAGGGCGGCCCTCCCTCCACCTCAGAACCCGAGTCCCCCCTTGTGTCTTCCCCGCTAGCAGAAAAAGGCAGATCCGTTTTGCAGCAACATGGATGGAGCTGGAAAAACCATATTTCATGCAAGCAGCCAGAAAGAAAAATACCGGATGGTTTCACTCATAGCAGGAGCGTAAAGAGGGATGGCGGGGTGGGGGGAATAACAATAATGAACAGCTGTATACTGTTCATTATACAGGGAATGGGATCAAAAATGGCGGCGAGGGCGAGTGCACGAGACTATGGTGATGGCACACTGGTGATTGGGTGATGGGAAGCCCACGGGGATTGCAACTGCGATGGAGAAAGGCACAAAATGATAAAAATAGGGCCCTCCCTGGTGGCGCAGCGGCTTAAAGCGCAGCACTAAGAAGCTAAAGCCACTGCAGCATGAGTTCGATCCCCGCCTGCCCCGGAGGTGACCACATGGCGTGGCAGACCTCTCCTGACCCGCCCGCTGCTCCCCTCAGCAGTGTACTTGGTCGATCTGCCTGTTCTGCTCCCCGCTCTGT